CTTGAAGCCTGTCTCTTATACACATCTAGATGTGTATAAGAGACAGGCGGTGAAGTTGGTAAGGGTGATATAATTAGGTCATTTTCAAATACTTCAACGTAATTTTTTTGCTTTCAACATTTCCAGGAAGGGGTAGGGGATGAGGTGAGGGATTAACTGGCGAAAAGTTTTAGGGGCGTGCGAACCCCTAGATACGTCACTGCCTGTTTGAGTCTTACGTTATAGTGGGCAAGTTCCGGGGCATTATCCTATAAGAAGTCAAACCAAACAAAGAAAATTATACAATTAAAAGACGAGTTCCGTTAGTTTATTTTGTTCTTGTAACCAAATAGGACAATGGAAAATTATAACAGGCCATACACAAACACTTGTTTTATTATAGAGAAGCTTCTTGCATAATTGGCCGATGAATTATCTGCCGGAGATGGGTCATGCAGGAAATACGTACAGGGCCATAAAATTGTCTTTGGTATAAAATAACATTTTGTGGGCCACCACTGACCCATGTCAATGCCTTGTCGACGAGAATGTCTACGTTATCTCTTAGGGGTAGATTTAGATGGGGCCCGGCCCCGCCCATCCCACCCAAGATCTCAACAAGTGAGCAAGGATAATTGTGTGTCTCAATAAGTTAAAGAATAAAGTACATAGCATCATAAGGGTGTTATCTTTAAGAATTATCTATACTGGAGGACATAAGGTTCTACAAATTCTGTTAATGATACACTGGCAAGCACGACATTTACACACAAACTTGAATTGGGCGCAAATAAACTTTAATTCCACTATCCGAAGATCGATCAACAATCATGAAAACATGAAAGTGAAAGATTAACTGCAATACAAACAAATGCAGCGATATAATAATGACTCTTTTTGGTGCAAAACCATTATTTAATTATTGTCATTGTTTTTCATGAATTACAGGCCTATCTGTACCTATGCTTACGTCAAGTAAACAAACTGTAGTAGACCGCAATTATGATGGCGAATATAGGGTGAAACATCCGCAGACTTGAACCCCCCTTTCTATCTTAAAAGAACATTAAATAAATTTAAAATAAATAATAATTAGCCTATAACGTTGGCTAGAGGTTGTAAATATTAGATGTGATTGTAGACGTTGTCTCAACGTCACAGTACGTTGTGGGCCCGACGTCGGTAAACGTCAGTGGAGGTTGGTGACAACTGTTGGGCCGACGTTGGTTAGAAGTTGTAAATTTCAAACGTTTACCGACGTCGGGCCAACAGAGTACTGTGATGTTGCGACAACGTCTATAATCATACATAATATTTACAACCTCTAAGAAACGTCGGCCCAACGATGGTACCAACATCTACAGTATTTCAAACGTTTACCGATTTTGGGCCAACAAGGTACTTTGACGTTGCGACAACGTCTATAACTATATATATTATGGAGGTTGGTTATAACCGTTTGGCCGACGTTGGTTAGAGGTTGTAAATATTAGATGTGATTATAGACGTGGTCGCAACGTCACAGTACGCTATTGGCCCGACGTCGGTAAACGTTTGAAATGGAGGTTGGTTACAACTGTTGGTCCGACGTTGGTAAGAGGTTGTAATAAATATTAGGATGTGATTATAGACGTTGTCCCAACGTCACGGTACTTTGTTGGTCCGGCGTCGGTAAACGTTAGTGGAGGTTAGTGACAACAGTAGAGGTTGTAAATTTCAAAACGTTTACCGACGTCGGGCCAAAAAAAAAAAAAAAAATTGGTTCGTGTGGGAATCGAACACACAACCACCAGGTTTGCTATTCATTATCCACCATCAACTAAACTGCCTTAAAAAAAAAAAAAAAAAAAATAGGTTCGTGTGGGAATTGAACACACAACCACCAGGTTTCCCGTAACATGATTAGTCTATTTTTTTCTAATTTGCATAATGATTTTTTCAAACATTTTTGTCTATTTAAAAAAAAAGTGCGTAAGTTATGGAGATGGTAACAATCGAAAATCGATTATAAATTTAATTCTACATTTTTAGACAAAAAAATAAACTCTCTTGGCACACGGCCCATTTTTGACACCATGACCATGCGTAATATTAACCTACAGTGTATATATACGAAGAATTTTTTCTAGTAGGATTAGAGTTGACTAACTGGTACTTGGTGTGGTACTAGGTTTATCGCATTTATGGTTTAGGGGCCGCGGTTTACCTCCCTCCGTTTAGTCATGCTGGATCAGGGGTAGTAAACTCAGCGATCGTGGGTTCGATTTCCACACGGGGCAAGTTTTTTTTTAAATTTTATTTATTAATTTATTTTTTTAAGGTCGTGGGTTCGATTCCCACACGAGCAGGTTTTTTTTTGTTTTTTTGGTTTTTTTTTAAAGCAGTTTAGTTGATGGTGGATAATGAATAGCAAACATGGAGGTTGTGTGTTCGATTCCCAGACGAACCAATTTTGTTTTTCTTTAAGGCAGTTTAGTTGATGGTGGATAATGTATTGTAATAACAACAAACAAGAACGTGTCATGTCCGAGCCTAGGCCGTCATGGAAGCTTACTGGTTCCTGTGTAATTCATGTTGAGCCAACTGCAGACGAAAAGGTTACAATTTTTTAATAGATAAGCTGGAAGAAAGTTTTAGACAGTGCCCATCAATGGAAGGATTTTAATACTTTTCGTATATAAAGATGTGGGTTCCCACATCTTTATATTGGCACAAGTAATTAAAATTGTTTATTGAGCAGATTAATCACACTGATAAACAATTGTACTACATTCGGCTGATGCAACATAACTTAGCAATAAAAATAATAGTTATAATAATAATAAATAATATATGTAGGTAGTAGTGTATCCGAATAAAAATTTAGTTGTATTGTGTTAAATTCATTTTATCATTGAGTTTATCGATTATTAAACGGTAATTGTAGTGGCATCGTCGTTTCACGTTGGCCTACGTAGGCCTATCCGAAATCATGAACACACACAAAGTACGGTACAAGAAACACAGTAACATTATAATTAGTTACCGTAACATTGTTTGTACAGTATCTTTCTAAACTGGG